ATGAGACTTTCCTGTGTAGTCTAATATCCGCGTGCGGAATGTGGCCTGCTCTCGTAGATAGTTGCAGGTTGTGCTTACGCTCTATTCTCCAAATCCCACCTCCAATTAAGTCCCCAGGGTATGTATCTTGTCATCTGAGCTCCACTTGCTTGCCAACCCAGATGACTGAGTTACGTAATTCGTGTACTCGTACACACCTTCGTAGGTGCCTTATTGACCGAATCCCACTCTGGTTACTAAATCCGTCGAATTTGACAATTTCAGTCGTGATTAAGTGTACTGAAAACTTACCTGACGCATGTCTCTAGGCGGTCGTTTACAGTCAACTGTGTGATCTCGCACAGGCGTTTGTTGTCAGTTTTTCCAGCCTACCTGCAGTGTAAAGCCAACTAAAATTTCGTTGTGAATTCCACCACAAGGCTTGACAGGAAGCAGTCAACGACATGCCCTATTTTATGATAATAGCCCTAATTGTATCTCTATTTTTGCCGTAGTATTATCGTCGTCTAGCAAAAATAACACTTTTTAAACTTTTAGGCGTAAGAAGGAGGCTCGTGAGCCACATGAACGCAGTCAAAAAGCACGGAAACTTCGCGGCATTAGGGCTAAGCTTGCCAATAAGGAGCGCTTTAAGGAGAAGGTGCAAATGAAGAAAACGTAAGTTTGAGGCTTTTTTATGTCCTTATTCGGATCACAGCATTCGTATGCACGAGCTACGAAACGTGCGACAGAAGGCCGGAGAGGCTGGCGGCCCAGGCGAAAAACCCGTTTTCCTGCTTGATCGTGAGGAGCAAAATATTTCAAAAATTCTGTCCAATACGGTCAAACAAAAGCGCGCTGAAAAAGCCGTAAGTGCCTAAAGTTCCTATGTTGTAGTTCTTTCTAATTTGGTGACTTGTTTTTGCGGTACTACCAAACAACCCTTTTAACAGACATCGTCCAGTCCTGCTATTCACTGAATGAGGATGTTTGCGTTCCAGGTGTTTGTATGGATAAGAAAGAAGGCTTGTCGAGCACCGGAACAATTGCTTGCTGTCCTGAGCTTTCAAACACTTACAGAAGTTAATCTTCAGAGGTAAGAAACAGCAACAAAAAGGAAGCCAATTACAAGGGTATACCCCAATACCCCTATAATTGCTCCCATTTTTTGTAGCTGTTCCTTGTTTCTGATGACTCGACTCGACGTACTTTGAGTTGACCCAATTGTGAAAAGACTCGAGGTGTTCGGCGGGATGTGAACCCGCGTAATAGAGAAGGCCTTAACCGGAAGCCAACGCTCTAACCGCTAAACTACAAGCACCCCACCTCACGCCATCAATTTAATCACACTTGGGTCGATATTACCCGCCCAACTTTACCGCTCGTATGGAATCTACCGATGCGGAAAAGCAAGCTGACTGCCCAAGCAGGATTTCCTAAGTAATCATTTCGAATCCACCGGAACGATTACTAGGCTGACTTAATTATTAGGAGGTTTGACAGATTTGCTTAACTTGAGTTGGCCTAATTGTGAAAAAATTCCAGACGTTCGGCGGGAGAAGACAGTTGATTGGCATACCCTCTCTAATTGTCCTGTTTTTGTTGCTGTTTCTTACCTCAGGGGATTAACTCATGTTCAGGACAATAAACCAATGTTTCGGTGTTCGACAGCCTTTCTCCCTTGCCTATGCTATTCAATAGTCGGT